TTAAGCGTTCTCGACTCACCGTTGCAAATAGACGATCTGTGGTGGCGAAGATCGCGCGACTCGTGATTGCAATTAGAAAGACATTTTGTGCACGTTAGTGGCAAGTACGTGAGCACCAGTAGAGACATTGGATCTCTCCGAATTGCCGCGGCAAATTATGTTAAAATGGTGATCAACGTACGATCCAAGAACAATGCGTGTTTCGCGTGGCCGGTGGTCGCGGCTCTGCATCCGGTCGAAAGGCATACGGATCGGGAATTATCGACAGTGTTAAATCTTCAAGACATTACATTTCCGATGACATTGAATCAGATTAAAAAGTTCGAACATCTCAATGACATCTCAATCAACGTGTACGGTATCAAGGAAAAGGAGATACGGTACTCCTGATACGGTTGACAGATAAGAAGATGGAGAAACATGCAAATATATTGTACATGCAGAGTCCGTGTGACGACAACGCGGGGCACTTCGCGTACATCAAAGACCTGTCCCGCCTTGTGAGCTCGCAAATAAATAAAAAAGAACACAAGAAATACTTTTGCGATCGGTATGTATTTTAACAAATTTTATTATTTCTCTTATAAAATTGTTTATTATAATAAATACTAAAAAATCATATTTTCCGTTTGCAGATGTCTACATTACTTCAGTTCGTCTGAAAAATTGCAGTCAAATACAACGGACTGCGAAAAGAAACAATGCGCAATCCGACTGCCGAGCGAGGACGACAAGTGGCTCGAATTCAAGAACCACACAAATAAGGAACGACTTCCTTTTGTCATTTACACGGACTTGGAGTGCGTACTATGGCGAACGGAACCGGCAGAAAAGGAAGACGCGTCGTACACTTATCAGCAGCACGAGATATTTAGTATCGGATACTACGTGCGAAGCTTATACGACGATGTGTTATCGGTATATCGATTTCGTTGCGGCGAAGACTGCGTTGCGTTCGTTCGGCAACTCGAAGACTTGGCGCATCAAGTAAAAATTCTGTTATTCGGCGAATGTCCTTATAAAAACGTTGTCGAGAGAACAGTGGGAGGCATATCGTAGCGCGACATGTTGTCATATTTGTGAAAAATCATTTGCGTCGCATGATACGTGATTATTGCCACCTTATCGGTCGTTACTGTGATCCCGTGCATTCAAATTGTAATCTAAATTATAAAGATTCATATTGCATTCCCATAGTATTTCACAACTTATCCGATTATGACGCGCATTTTCTCATCATAGAAATAGCTATGGCGTTCGAAGGCAGAATCGACGTACTGCCGATAACAAAGAAAAATACATTTCATTTACAAAACACGTTCAAGATACCACCGAGAGATCAGATTCAAATTGCGTACGACTGCGGTTCATAGATTTGTACAAATTTTTAAATACCAGCCTCGGTAAATTGGCATCTTTTCTAACAAAAGAAAAATTGAAAATTTTATGTTCCGAATTTTCCATATTATCAAACGAAGATTTTTACTTGTTGACGCGCAAAGGTGTCTTTCTCTACGAATACATGGATCACGTGGACAAGTTGCAGGACACGTGCCTACCACCGCGCGAATCATTCTATAGTTCGTTGACCGGTGATACAATGTCGGAGAACGATTACGCGCCGCGAACGTCTGGCAGCGGTTCTCTATTAAAACTCTAGGCGAGTATAGCGATCTGTATTTAAAAACCGATGTCTTGTTATTGGCTGACGTTTTTGAAAATTTCCGCGAAAGTTGTATCAAAAGTTACAGTCTCGATCCCGTTCATTACTACACATTGCCAGGTTTCACGTGGAATACCATGTTGAAACATACGTAAAATTTGAGTTGCTCACCGACATTGATATGGTTATGTTTATCGAGCGCGGTATACGCGGTGACCTCAGTCAATGTTTCGGCAGATACGCGCAGGCCAATAACAAGTACATGCATTCGTACGACCCGTTGAAACCGTCGTCGTATTTGATGTATTACGTGAACAATTTGTACGGATGGGCGATGTGTCAACCGCTGCCCTATGCCGAATGGGTTGAAGACATTACGAACTTTGACGCGAGCGCGATCGCTCCGGATTCACCTACGGGTCATATTCTTGAGATTGATATCGAGTATCCGCATCATCTACATGATCGACACACTGACCTATCTTTTTGTCCGACGCGCGGCACCCAACAATCACCCAGCACGCGGCAGGATAAACTTCTCGCGACGTTATATGATAAGAAGCGGTACGTCATCCACTATCACAACCTGCAGCAATGTACGCGCCACGGTTTTCGTATCGCAAAGATACACCGCGTACTACAATTTGTTCAATCCACCTGGCTCCGCGATTATATCGCGATTATTATAATTCAATACATACTTTAGACGTGCGCGAAAAATGATTTTGAGAAAAATTTATACAAATTAATGAACAACGCGGTATGGCGCGGAGGCAATGATCGCGAAATCAAATTTCCAGCCGCAGCGTCTTTGCGGAAAACTTAATCGCCGTCGAACTGCGTAAACTCGAGATGAAATTCGACAAGCCGATTTATGTGGATATGTGTATACTCGACATATCGAAAATCTGTTTGTACGAATTTCACCACAAGTATATGTCACCGCTGTATCGCGACAAATGTAAGATCATGTACACCAACACGGACAGTCTCATATATCACATCGAGTGCAATGATGTGTACGAGACGATGAAACGCGATATCGCTAGATTCGATACGAGCGATTATCCGTCGGGCAACACATACGGGATGTCTCTCATGAATAAAAAAGTACCTGGCTTAAAAAAGGATGAAAATAACGGTACGTGCAATAATGACGGAATTCGTCGGACTCAGAGCGAAGATGTACACGGTGAGGGTTAATGTAAAAAGGATACCAAAAAGGCGAAAGATGTAAAAAGTAACGTCGTAGCGCGAACAATAACGTTCGACGTTTACACGCGATGTTTGAATGAAGAGATCGAAATGACTCGTCGCCAATCATGTATAAGATCTAAGTTACACCAAGTATATATGGTGTCCGAGTCGAAAATTGTTCTGAGTTCGTACGATGACAAA